CGATGTTCCTGAGAAAATCTGCGGATCATTCGCTGGTTTGTTGGTTCGGAGACTCATATTCACCGAATTTTTTGAAAAGGCGGTCGGGGTCAGATCAGCGACGGGGGATATTTCGCACTTCTGCTACTTCCCATTAACGTGTCGACCCATTTAGGGGGCCATTTCAAGAGCATACAGGTTTACCACGATGGCTCAACGAGCTTGCTCCACCTTTGAAAGAGTTCACAGGTTTTCCCTGAGTGAGAGATGTAAACCGGAAGTAGTGAAACAGCGAAAGTGCGAAATGCCCCGTCCACCGAACTGCGCCGGTGTTCGGCCTGCTCCAAATTTACGTTTGTCCAGTGCTAAACACCACGCTTCCTACCTTCAGCCGTTTCCTGTACATCAACAAAGCGATTTGCAGCCAAATCACACAACGCGTCTTCAACGTTCCTCAGTGGTTTGGAGAGTGTCAGTTTAGACACTTCTTCCAGCTCCCGGATGTTTTTGGCGAGACCATCACAGATGCACTTGAAACCTTTCATAAGAGATTTTTGACGTGACAAAACTTACGACAGCCCTACCTACCTCTAGGAGCAATTTTGTGTGGTCCCTTACTGGATTCGTCGTGGAATGCGGAGAAGAGCGAATCAGTCGAAGCACCTCTTGCATTTCGGTTTGCCGTACTGCCAATATACTTTCACCTAGAACAACTTCAATTTTTTAATAAACCTTCCCATTCTTCCAATTTACTTTTCAGTCGAAACCCCATCTTCAGCCTTGTTAGAGACTCTGTTCTGAAGGTCAGAGAGCAATGGCGATCCATTGCAAACGAGATCACACATTGCGATACATTAATGGCATTTCGACACTTCAGTTAGTCGTAAATAGGCAATTTAGTTAAGATTGAACTTGACCGGAAGAGCAATTGTTAATTTGTACGAATTGCCATTTGACTCTTGCTGCGCGCCTCGGATGGGAACGGCAATCCCCGTCTCACTCCGCCTCCTCTGCCGCCTCAGTCCTCACCACACTCTGTCCAGCTGCCTGAAAATTAGCCAATGGCTCCTTCGTCCCGCCCATCACTCCCATTACTACAGTAACGAAGGTCTCGTCCCAGTATTCCTACAAGCAGCGAATTATGGCGGTCGAAGAAATGCAGCTCTCAAATGGTGTGATGGCTACCGGTCACATGGGAGGTATGCAAGGTACAGCCATGAGTCTAGGACCACAACGAATGAGTTTCGCCATCCATGAGATTCTCGGTCTTCAAGGCAATGCTTATTTATCTCATGGATACTGTCCACAAGGCTTTTTTCCACAGCAGGTGCGTCCACTTGGGTTTTTTTTTACAATTTTTTTCGATTCTACTGGTTCATCTTGCAGAATTTTGCTGTCGATATCGGCTCATGCACGTCGTTCGACAGATCACTTTGCGGATCAGACCAGCTGGTTGCAGGAACACATACAGGTAATACGATCCCCATACAGCCTGATATGCCCCCTCTTTCCTCAACCTGGCAGTCTTCTGAGAAAAAATTCTTCAGGTACTCATAACAGTTACACCATGCCGGTCTCAGCGTCCCATTCGATGCCATCCGACGAAGGGAGCAATCATCAAAGTTCAGGTGGAAAAAGCAAGCGCAAGAAGCGAAGGCATAGGTGAGCCCAGCAAAGACGATTCCGTCAGAAAGTACAGTCTTATCTCTTCCAGGACAATCTTCACGCAATACCAGATCGATGAATTGGAGAAGGCTTTCCAGGAAGCTCACTATCCGGACGTTTACGCTCGAGAAATGTTGGCCGTGAAGACGGAACTACCCGAAGACCGGATTCAGGTGATTTCGGTGTTAGTTACTTGAAAATGGTGCGTCAGTCACTATCAAGACTGAAGATCGAGTGTTCCTCTCATTCAAAGTGTCGTTTTTCGCACTTGTGACTTCCGATTAGATTTCCACGATGGCTTCACAATGGCCAATCAGTGCTCAATAGCCGGCCACTCGTCAGCCTACTACATTCACCCTAAGTAAAGCGATTTGTCGTGGCGATTATCGCAATCCACCAGCCGTTTCAACGTTGTCCACACCCATGACCTATGTTCGGTCGAAATCGCATAATTAGCTCAAGAGCTAATTTCACTCCAGTAAAGAGGTCCGCAGAAAATTGCTGCATAAAAGTGGGTAAGTGCTCTTCGAATTAGCTGAACCTCCCTTGAGAAATAGAGAAGGCCAGGAAGCCTTCGAAGACAATAGAAAAGCGTAACTGCATGTACTTCCGCTCATATTCAGCATTTCAGGTTTGGTTTCAAAACCGACGAGCAAAATGGCGAAAAACTGAGAAAACTTGGGGAAAAAGCACAATCATGGCAGGTGTGTTCTGACGTGGAAAGTGAAGAAGATCCAGAGATTTGAAAATCATTCGAATTATTCAGAATACGGTCTTTACGGTGCAATGGTACGGCATTCACTTCCTCTACCAGATACGATTACAAAAACGGCTGAGACTTCGGATCCTCAACAAAGCGCCGCGCCATGGTTACTTGGTGAGATTCTTACTAGTTTAGATCTGCATGTCACCTTCAGGACAGGAGACTTGGACACATTATTAGCTGGGGATTTCGGTCAAGTCCGTACGACCCCCCCCTTCCAAGAGGGCGACTTAATACAACCACCCTCCTTAGTTCCCTCTTCTGATACGATCGAGCTTTCGAGTGGGGGGAGGAGGGGGAGTAATCCACATGTGAAACGGGAAAAACCGCGGAGGAAAATAAGCCATTATCTCCCATCCCATCCACCACTTTCATAAATTTTCCCAACTTCCTATTACTTTTTCCGAATTCACGAGAATTTTCTTACTTTTTCCCAAGAATTTCATCCTCGAGTGGGGGTTATATAGATATCTAGCCCATGTGAAACGGAAAAAGCACAAAGAGTCAAGTCAACAACCTCTCTCAGACTCTCACAAGACATATACGACCACCCCCCTCCTTTCATGGCCTCCGTGGAACAAGAAAAATCGAACATCAAAAAATTTTTTCTCGGACTAAATACGACCATCCCCTGTTGGGGAATCCCCAGCATAATGTGCCCTCCAAGAACTGCCTGATTTTCTCATGCTCCTCATCATTCAACGCGCCGTTACGATGAACGAATCGATAAGCATGCTCTTAGTAGGTGAAGAACAGAGCCCGAGAAGATATCCCATCGAGAAAAAGGGATTGTGGGTTGGAAAATTGCCCCGTCGTGATGACAGGCTCAAATGGGTAACACGGGCAGCAAAAGGGATATTTTATCAGAGAAACGGTGCTACTCTACAGTTATTTGTAGCAGGCCTTCATCTTTTCCCTTACCTTTCAGGCCTAGAGTTTTTTGCTTTATAAACCGAACAACGACCAATGCAGCAATTCGTCTCGGGAAGGCAACTTCCGACGCGAAACATTGAAGGACAGAACCTGCCCTTCTAACCGAGCTGCCTGGATGGTTTCTTTATGAAAATCAGTCAGCCCGAAAGCTGCCATGCTTTTGTCCTTTCACAAGCGAGATCTAAGCGTTGCAAATGAGCCATTCTAAAGGCATAGTGTGAATGGAAGATAGTAAGCGGCTTGAAATCCGTTAAAGTCGCTGAGACAGGATAAGACCCCGACCTATTTCCTGTATAAGGACCTAAAAAACATCATCGCCGACCAGACCTCACTTCAAAGGAACAATCATGACTTTCTAACTACTTGTACAGCACGGTGACTGAGGCTTTCCGAGAACGTGCAGTAGACAAACAAACTGCTTTGATATCGACTTTCTGGCTTACTGCGACCCATCACAAACCCGTTGGCGCAAAGTATTGCATATCAGACCCAATTGAGGGCTGGTATTTTCCTATGATTCTCTTTTCCTGGATTTTTTTTCAAAGATCGTAAACCTAGATTTTATCTCACGCTTGATTTCAATGTTCTCTCAAACTGTCAATTCCAAGACCGGGATCTCGATTCAGCATGCACAAATTCCTTTGCTTTCTGATGACAATTCAATTCTGGGGAAACATTTGCTAAACAAGACGGTACGCGGTGCGCGGCATTTAGCAACTTATTAGCTTAATGAGCCCCCATCGACAGCAGGAACAAGGTCACCATTTACACGACAACATTTTTTCTACTAAACATCGCCATGATAGCATTCATTATTTACCATTCCAAGGCAACGCCTATCTTCATGATCATGAGGGTGCTTCTAGATTATTCTCTCAGAGCATATCATTAGTTGGGGAATTTGGTCAAGTCTGTACGACCCCTCCGTCCCTCATCCCCCATTTTACCTACCACTTTCTCGGATTTTCCGAAACTTCCTACCAGTTTCTCCGAAATTTTTGCTACATTTCCCCTAAAATTTTACTGTCGAGCCGGGGTGGGAGACGAGAGCTATATAGTACATATGAAGCAGGAAAAACTACGGAAAGTAAACAACTCATCGATAAAGACCAGAAGGCAAAAATGACCTCCCAGCGAACAAGTACGACCCCTCCTGTTCCAACGATGATGTTCCCCGCCAAAAATAGAAAATTTTCACTAGAACGACCGACCGAGGTCCTTGATTCACCCCCTCCCCCAACCACCGGGTGTCACTAAAAGGCAAAAAAGAAGCTTGTTGCAAAGCATACGTATATGGAATCTACAACACAATTACTTACTAAATTCGTACACTAGCTGCTTCTTTCCGTGCAGTCCGTTATGCTTGCTTTCTTTACTGGTGCCAGCTAGGCGCAAAGTTTTCTAAGGCTAATTGAGATTTCAGTAGCGCAATGAAGAAGCACCATGCCCAGGAACCTTAGGTGTTTGTGCAAACACTGCACAAAATATTTTGCTCAGCACTTCAGTAACTTTTCAGCGGCACCACTTCTGCATTTCATTGCCAAACTTGCCCAAGGACACTCACTGGCGACCTAATTAGGCCAAAAATGAGAAGCATTTTCTAAGAATGAGAATGGTGTCCGAAGGCACTGCTAATAATAAGCGCCCATGGTCGATAGCTGGCAAAATTCACCGCACTTTTAGAAGAGCTGTACAAGGTACCCAAACAACATCACTGCTTCTGCAACAAGATCACTGCTGCTGCTTCATTTTACTGAGCACCCGACCTTCTTTGTCTAGACTCTTCCAGAGGTAGTTCCTAAAAAATCTGCATGCTCAAATGCACTTTCCGGCTTCATTAGAGTCTTATGCTTCTACTGTCTAGACAGCTTTTCCGATATGAAAGGTATATGCTAAACAAAAAGGGATGAAGCTCAATTCTGAGCTAGAGTCTTGTTCGCTCCAGATGATGGGGCCTATCAAGCGGAAAGGGTTCGATGCAACGCCAGCCCGTTCCTTTTCTTCTTTTCTCAGGCCAAACGATAAGACTGTATATCATTGCATTCGTGTTCC